TTAGCCTTAGAGCGGGTAGAATGCAGATCAACGTATTTTAGTTTCAATCTGCTTGTCTGAATCATCTTCAAGAAGCGAGAGCAAGATCTAAAAGATCAGCCAATCTAACAGTGATCTCATCTCACAGTCCTCACACTTGATCCATATGTGGCCTCCTTTGTAAATCAATAGCGGGTCTTAAATGCCACTTAAGAATATCGCACAAAATTTTATACGTGAATCAATTAAGCTGTCAGATCCTCATCTGTCGAAACCGACAGGAGAGAGACCATTATTATTATTATTATTATTATTATTATTATATATATATATATATATATATATATATATATATATATATATATATGGGAGGCATGGTAGAGTAGTGGACAGCGGCAAAAATACAGTTAGACGACAGAGTTTATCATACATGAAATAGAGAGTTACTTTTAATTACACTGTATCTATCTATCTAATTATATATATATATATGTGTGTGTGTGTGTGTGTGTCTGTCTGTTTGTGTGTGTGTGTGTCTGTCTGTGTGTGTGTGTCTGTCTGTGTGTGTGTGTCTGTGTGTGTGTCTGTGTGTGTGTGTGTGTGTGTGTCTGTGTGTGTGTGTGTGTGTGTGTGTGTGTCTGTGTGTGTGTGTGTGTGTCTGTCTGTGTGTGTGTGTGTGTGTCTGTCTGTGTGTGTGTGTGTGTCTGTCTGTCTGTGTGTGTGTGTGTGTCTGTCTGTGTGTGTGTGTGTGTCTGTCTGTCTGTGTGTGTGTGTGTCTGTGTGTGTGTGTGTGTGTGTCTGTCTGTGTGTGTGTGTGTGTGTGTGTGTGTGTGTGTGTGTGTGTGTGTGTGTCTGTGTGTGTGTTATATACCGTACATATAAACAATAATGGGTATGTCCCAATCCTCATAAATACGTCGGACACTATTGTAAGTGTGGGTAATATGCTGTGTAAGTAGTCTACCACTAGCAGTGGTTTACCTACTTCACGCCGCTGGCGAGTATTGTATTTTGTTGATGTTATAAAGATTACCATTTCATTTCCAACCTCTATTTTGGTTACTCCCGATTCAGTAACCTTTTCTAGGTTAAAACATTTTGGCGACGAGGATGAGATATTGACTCTATGCAAATGGGCTGTTTCAACAAACCTATAGGAAGAGAAAAAGGCAAAATGATAATAAAAGGGAATGTAATTCTAGACCGAACCTTACCGGTCAGAACTCTGACTACACGAACTGGTTTGAACATCAAGGGCGTAGAGTCAGGAGTGCTAATTTAACTTTAACTAAGTCTCGGCAGTACAGTAATGAACACACTGATCTTTATTTGGTTATTCCTCATTCAGTAAACCTTTCTAAATTACAACAATATGTATGGGGAAAATGTATGATAAAGTAGAAGAATTAGTTTTCGTGTGACGGGTTTCGTTCTTTAGGACTTCATCAGACTAATTTTTTACGTTGGTTCGATAACACATACCTATGAACGAGTCAGTGCGGGTGGTTTTTGTATATAATCAACCCAATTTCATTTCGATTCTTTTTCTTTTTGTTTCTCTTACAGCATCTCGCCATTTATTCAACTAATTATAGAACTAATATTATATAACTGATAATATAATAATGTAATATTACATAACTAATTATATAACAATATATTATATAACTAAGTATATAATAATATATTATATAACTAAGTATATAATAATATATTATATAACTAAGTATATAAAAATATATTATATAACTAAATATATAATAATATATTATATAACTAATTATATAATATTATGTACTTAATTATGTAATAATATAATATTATGTAACTAATTATATTATGAATGGAAACAAAACAGAAAAGAGTCTAAAATTCTCAGCATCTCTCGTTCGTGCGTATGTGCAGTCCCACCAATATAACAAATCTAGTCCGATGAAGTCTTAAACGACGAAACTCGTCACACGAAACCTTTTTCCAATTTCGTCATCCATTTTTACCCTAATACTTTTCTTGATATATAAAAATGTATATATCGTTAACTCTTATAGCAGACAGTAGATATAACAAATATTTACAGTGATTAAATTATCAATGACTGGTTCCTGGATATATTTAAGTGTGTCGTTTCACAAATAATCATTTATATTCATATATTTATTGCCAAACATTGCGACATTGCAGCAGAGATATTTCCGTTTGTCAAGACATCAGGCAACGAAACGTCAGTCAAGGCTCTGAATTTATACGTTTTCCATTATGAGAAAGTGGACCAATAATAAAGAAAATTCAAATACGATTTATGAGTTTCATTTATCTTTGAATCTTATCCTTTTGGAACGCGAGCAGATGAGTTGATAGGCACCTGAACTGCTGATATATATATATATATATATATATATATATATATATATATATATATATATATATATATATATATGCAGTAAGAGGCAAAAAATGGACGCACCTATAGAAAGCCGATTTTTTTTATATATATATACGTATTTATATATATATATATATATATATATATATATATATATATATATATATATATATATACGGTATCCATAAAGACTCTTCAGTTTGAAAATTTATTGCAAAAGCAAATGAACACGCAAATATACCTGTATTTTGATTGGTCATTGCATCTGATGCAACAGCGTTTTTCCTAGCGAAGGGTGTTTGGTCAATTTGAACCTTTTAAAACTTTTTATTCTACATTCAACACCATCTCTTGATAAGACACCAGATGAGTTGAAACAAAATGGTTATTTTTGTAGTGATTTTATATCATATGTAGGTTGTAATATTCGAATAAATTATATATATATATATATATATATATATATATATATATATATATATATCTTAGGAACATCAAAAAAGTAAATTGGAAAAAAAGACTATATTTAACAAGCAAAGTCTCTTAATTTTTAATCAAAATGGTTAATGGTCTGATCAGTCCAGGAAACAGCAGTTTTATAAAGTGTTCAATATACGTGTGAAAAAATAAATAAAAGTAAAAATAACATGTATATCTATTAACATTAAAAATCATGAGTTCAGTTGATATCGCTACCTTTGTTTCAACCTTAAGATATCCTCAGGCGATTTTTATGAAATGACTTCTTAACGCTTTTTTTTATATTTTTTTAAAAACTAATGAATGGTATATTTTTTATTTTCGAAAATAAATTAAAAAAAAACGCACGACGTTGGGTGTAACAAAAAAAGAGGGAGAGGCTATCAAAGAAGAAGAAGAAGAAGAAGAAGAAGAAGAAGAAGAAGAAGAAGAAGAAAAGCAAGGGTATTCTAAATGTATCGGTGGATTTAATTGAAATTATTTCAGTTAAAAAGTATATATATATATATATATATATATATATATAGATATATAAATTCATGAATTATTCACACAAAAACAAATGCAAAGGTTAATGATTTAATTGGCGAGAAATCCATCGTCGCAAACAATTCAAATAATATACAAAAACCTCCGAATCCGTTATGAATGAAAAGATCCTTGTTTCTTTAAATTTCTGCCGCATTAGTTCTTATTTTTACTACAAGCTTTCGTCCGTTCCTACAGACATCTTCAGGTATGGAATGGATGTTGTTCTTGTTTTTATATGCGTATATTTTGGGAGCGGTATATTATCATTGAGATATGATTCGTTGAATAATTTAGACATGTTCTCTCCACTTATTTTCAACTGGATCCTTTCATATTCACGGACAAGATTTTTGGTGTCGTTATTGAAGGACGAAAGAAAATCGGCGTGTTGATACATATTTCTTTTATTCCGATTACTTTCGACATAGCACAATCTCATCATCAGGGTATATAGTTCGTCTGAACACTTTCAATACCACAAACAGATCTCTCGCTCTGAAAGTTTTAATTAATTGTAACTGCTTCGAAAACGAAAGTCGAATGAATTTGATCTCGTAACGATCTTATCGACAGTCTAAGGCTTAATTGGAAAATTTTACCCACGTGCAATTGTTACGCGAGTAAGATGAAACACTCTTTTCCTATTTTGCTTATCCAAGATATTATTTTAGATTTCCTTTGCCGTTGTTTTCTGCTTCGAAACCTTTTACGTTGCAATGACATGCTTACGTTGCTAACATACGTGTCGTGGATGCAAAGCTTTGTACGGACATTTAATGGGAATATTTGAGAGAAGTGAGAAATAACCCGAGGAGACAAAAATAACTATAACACCTTCCATGTTGAATTTATCTGATTATCTCATATGTTGAAAATATATATATATATAGGTATACCTCACTCTACGTCGTTAATTGGTACCAGAGGTCACGACATAGATCGAAAAACGACTTAACCACACTATAAACTGCAAATAAGCACTCCCTATTGCATATTACAGTATTTATGATATGTAAGCAGTAAATAATTTATCATCGATATAGGCTTACGATTAGTATTACCAATGAAAGTACGGTTTAACAAGTTTTCCAATATAATCCAGTTTAGTCAACGTTAAGATCTTTTTCAGAAAGAAACCCGTTTTCTTCAATGATTTTAGCCAATGCTTTAGAAAAATCGGCTGCTGCTTGTTTGTCAGCTGATGCACTTTCACATTGCTTCATAATACAGTGAGTAATTCTTTAAATCTCTTAAACCAGCCTTGACTGGCTTTAAACTCCACATCTTTCTCATCTGGGGATTTTTTGTTCAGGTCCTCTAAGGCAATGATTTCTTGATTAATAGCCGCACGCTGATGAGTCAAACTGTGAATCCAAAGAGAAAGAAGTTGTCTCATCTCTTCAAAGAGTTTTCCTCTTTTCTTACTGATAACAATATTCTTTATGCCTGGGTGATCAGATTTGATATGTGCCAAAATTTTAGCCTTATTGGGTTCAATCGTCCAAAAGATCGAGCAATCGATATAAACTTTTCACCTTTTTAATTGCGTTATAGCATCACGCTTAGCACTTGTACTAGGAATTTTCTTAGAAATGAATTAGAATTTTCTTAAATTTGGGACAAAATATTAAGTCACCAATGAATGATAATGAGAGAATAGGCGATAAGCAGACGTATACCCTGCGTATGCCGAAACTAATCTGGATTTCAATTTCACGGGAATCACGAGTGGCGCTGAAAACGACGCCAGATAGATATTGGAACTACCGTGGAAAATGTCAATACTGAACTCTTAAAGACCGCTAAATAAGAACTACAACACAGAGTCACAGATGTTTTCATATTTCGTTCTCTAGAATTTATGATGATTATATTAACATTCACTGTAAAGGTACCTATTTTAATATGATTTTATATACTGTTATTCTTATTTATTTTACAGTAACATGCTTATATGTCCTTTTAACGCTTTTCTAGTGATATTACGACTCCAATATTTGACGTAAAGTCGAATAAATGACTTAAAATTGATTTTTATTTGTCCATATAGTTTTTTTGACAACTGACGTATAATCCAGAACAACTTAACTCGAAACGACGTAACCCGAGATATATCTGTATTTAAAAAATGAAACTTTACTGCATTTCGCTGATCGGATGCTAACAAATCTTAAAATTCCTCTTGATTAAGTTGCAACAATGATATGCTTGCAAATTACAGCAATGTATTCAAAGCGTAAGGATGTAAAAATCATTTAAATGTGCAGCAAATATTTATCTGTCTTACTGCAATTAAATCAAAGCGTCTCAATTTATTCTGCATCTATTTAATTCATCTCTACCAAGTGTTCCAAGAAATAGGATTCAAGATAAACCTTTCAACAAAAGAAACTATGATATGCAATTGGAATGAGAGCAGTGATAGTACCTATCCTGAGCCTATCATGACAATTCTAGGTGTGGAATTGGCAAATACTAGACACTTCAAATGCCTCGGTCTATAGATCAATTAGAACAAATTTAGTATAGGTGATCAGGAAATTGACTAGCAGAGGTAGTTTGGATAAACGTCTCAAATTGATACAAAGCCGAAACATCAAATTTTAAATTTGAGTAATGTTCTTAAATAGCGTAGTCGAATCGACTAGCATGCATATAAAAGTCGATTCGACTAGAGTATTTAAACATAACTCAAATTTTCAAGTTGATTTTCTGGCTTTGTATCAATAGCATGCATATAAAAGTCGGTTCGACTAGGATATTTAAGAACATAATTCAAATTTTCAAGTTGATTATGCGGCTTTGTATCAATTTGAAACATTTAGCGAAACCACCTTTGGTAGTCAATTTCCTGATTACCTCTATCGATTTTTATATGCATACAAAGCCGGAACATCAACTTGAAAATTTAAATTATGTTCTTAAATAGCCTAGTCGAATGGACGTTTATATGCATGCTCTTCATCGTACCGAACCTATTCAGAAATACCTATACTTTTAATTGTACACAGAAGCTTTCTTAGATCAAAGCGCTTTGAGCAAGTGAAGGCTGTGGGCCATGGTGAAGACCGTTCAGCTTGAAAGCTTGTGAGATAAAGCTACAGAATCACATAGAAATGTGCAAAATAACAGAAACCACATCACTTGAGGACTAACAACAGCAGCAACAACTAAAATGGATAGCACATGTAATTCCAAGAGAAAATAATGACATGATCAAGATGTTAACATTCAACACTACTTCAAGTAAATGGTTAAAAAGGAAACGACGGCCAAGGTATTTTTACTCGCTTTATTATATGAGGGACGGTAATCGTAGCATCGTTTCTAGGAGGAAGCGAGAGGAAGATGAAGATAAGACTTATATCAAGTGATTGGCTAAAATCTCATCCAGCATTTAGTGCCGAATAGGAGGATTGATATTCCATAACAGCTAGATAAGAACGGCAAAATTCGAGCTGTGGCTTTACCTATCTCAAAGATGTTTGACAATATTTGGCATGCTGGCACTCTCCACAAGCTTAAAGAATCCTGGGAATGACGATAAACTTCACCCGACATCCTGACCACTCACCGGGAAATTTGGGGTTTTGAGAAGCGTGAAAACACCTCTTAATTGCTGTTGTTCCCAGTGTCACACTTACCCGGGGGAAGTGGGGCTAGCATCTATTAGGGTCCCAGGTATGGGCAAATAGTGTGGCTCCAAAGAAAAACAAAAGACCATGAAACTATATAAATACTTTTTAATAGGAGAATTACCAACAATTCTTATTTATAGTAAAATGACCAACAATACATATTTATAGTATAATAACCAACCATACATTTTATCTGTAGATGTAGGCAACCAATTACGTTTGAAATATATTTAGTTGAAGCCATAAAATTCTCTTCAAAATATTTAGATTTCGGAATTAAATAACCTTTAGAGGTTGATATGCCGCTAAACCAAATCAACCGATCAAACAACACAAAAGAACTCTTTCATGGCATATAATGTCCTACAATTTCTTAAAGAAGTTAAACGGTTTCTAAAATATAACTTTAAGTTAACTACCACATAAAATACATATCATCACCAATGGTAATCATATCCACACAAATGTGCATATGCACAAAAGCTGAGTATCATTTACCATCTATTCAACTGTGAAAGTAGAATAACAAATTGTGCAATGAAATTGTACTGAATGGACACGCCTCTAGATAACTTCTCATTAATGCATCTTATATTAAACGTCAGCGTAAATTTTGCTGACAAATAAGAGAAATATGATCTCGCAGTGGGGTGCTTCCCATATTCATCTTATTTGTCTTCAAATGCTATGGCAGTTGGGTATTTTTATAGGCACGGTGGAGTAAAGGATAGCGGCTCTGATTGAGGAATCGGAGAGCCCAGTTCGAATTCTAGTCAAAATCCATTATATTCACTTACATGCTTATACCCTTGGGAAAGGTATGAATCCTTTTTTCTCCCCCAGTAATGGGTAAATAGCAGGACAGACCGGGTTCTATAGACTTGGATGGCAACTGTTCTACCGCAGAAAGGAATGATAACATACTGCAGGAAAAAAAATCTGCTTCATCAGTCATGTATCGAAAGATACATGATTGCCTAAGCGTGTGTCACGCATGGCACAGGGCTGACTGAGTGGGGTGTTTGGTGCCTGCGTTTATTGCAGTTGTTGAAGTACCCTCCCGATGTCAAATATGGGTGTTCTTATCTGTATAGCAAAATGGTGCACAAGATTTTTTTTTAACCTTTCATCAGAAGCATGGCGGTAATGACATTAGGACGCATGAGGTTAGCGTGAGTGAAAGACATTGAGAAAACTTAAGTGAGAAGCGAAGACAAATAACAAAAAAAGAACAGGGTTCAAGAAAAGTAAAGATGGGGATTAGTGTTGCATTTAAATCTTTGTAGTTGGTAGGGAAGCAAGAAATCAGAATGGAGTTTCACAAGCGAGAAGTTCGAGAAAACAAACAAACAGAGTGGAACATACGATTGCATCTAGGTCGATAAAAATGTGCTGCACAAAGTTAAGTTCAGTAAATGTTGAAATTAATCACATGTCAGAAAAATGAAAAAAGTGGATTAAGTTGGTAGGTATACGTCACTGTTTCATATTTTCAACACAATTGTACAGATTCGTCATAAAAAATGTTTTAAAAGTCAATTTTTAGCGTCGTTCCAAATCAATTATTTATACTAAGCCCAGTTAGAAGGTATATACACGTACCTATATTGACAGACACATATAGCAAATGACTGAGAGGAACGTAGATAGATAGATAGATAGATAGATAGATAGATAGATAGATAGATAGATATCACTAAACATAGATATCACTAAACATAGATAGTACGGAACATAGATAGAAAGAAATAAAGGAAGAAAGAAAGAAAGAAAGAAACATGTTATTAACATAGATAGATAGATAGATAGATAGATAGATAGATATCACTAAACATAGATAGTACGAAACATAGATAGATAGAAAGAAATAAAGGAAGAAAGAAAGAAACATGTTATTAACATAGATAGATAGCACTAAATATAGATAGATATATAGATAGATAGCACTAAATATAGATATATAGCACTAAATATAGATAGATAGATAGATAGATAGATAACACTAAATATAGATAGATATATAGATAGTACTAAATAGAGATAGATATATAGATAGATAGCACTAAATATAGATAGATAGATAGATAGATAGATAGATAGATAGATAGATAGATAGATAGATAGATAGGCACTAAACACATAGATAGAATAAAATAATAGACAGAGATCGAAATAAACAAACTATGAAATTTATTGCTAAATATTTCCAGGTGGAATGAGTAAGGAGACCACTAAATACAAGAGACAGTCTGCAACGGTAATGTACAAGATCATATTTCAAACTAGTACCCCATCACTAATTAAGACAAGTGCAGGCAGATGCAGTTAGCAATTTGATTTATTTCCATCCGTTCAGCAGAAACTCTCTTGGTCGAAAGAGAAATTAATCAAGTTGGCGTCAAGCCGGATTTCTGAAGTGGCGAGTTTTGAGTTCGATGACAAACCGTTGGCTGATTGATCACCGTTTCAGTAAGAAAGAAAGAAAGAAAGAAAGAAACAAAGAAAGAAAGAACGAAAGACAGAAAGAAAGAAAGAGATGAAAAGAAGAAAGCAAAAAAACGAATAAAAAAAACAGACAGAAATATAAGTTTGTGAAAAAAAATGAACAGAAGAAAGAAAAAAAAGAATAATGAATCAAATGAAAAGAAGCAAGTAAACAAGCAAAGAGGAAGGAAGAAAGAAATATGAATGAATGAATAAAGAAATTATGAAAAGGAAAGAATGAATGAATAAGTGGTAAGCGAGAAAAGAATGGTAGAAAGCAAAATATATGAAAATAAATAAGGAAGACTGGGAAGCAAAAACAGAAAAACAGATAAAAATAAGCAAAGAAAGAATAAAAAATAAGCAAAGAAAGAATAAAAATAAGCAAAGAAAGAATGAAAAATAAGCAAAGAAAGAATGAAAAACAAGCAAAGAAAAAAGAAAAAAAAAGAAACAAAAATATGCGTGGAACGAAAATAAATTCAAGTAAAAAGAATGAAAAACAGTAAGAAAGAAAAAAGAAAGAATGAAAGATGAAATCAATGTATGAAAACGAAGATTGAAGATTTATTAGAAAAACTAGAAACAAGTGTATTTTACACTCAAGTAAAAAGGAGGAATGAAAAACAGAAAAAAAGAATAACAAGAAGAAGAAATGAAAAGAAAAAGAAAGAAATTAATACAATTAAAAAGTGAAAAATTATAACGAAAAAAAGAGAGAAGAAAGGGAGAAGCAGAAAGAAAGAAAGAAAGAAAGAAAGAAAGAAAGAAAGAAGAAGAAAGGATAGAAGAAAGAAAAAAGAAGAAAGAAAGAAAGAAAGAAGAAGAAAGGATAGAAGAAAGAAAAAAGAAGAAAGAAAGAAAGAAAGAAAGAATGAAAGAAAGAAAAAGGAAAAAAGAAAGAAAGAAAAAAGAAAGAAAAAGGAAGAAAGAAAGAAAAAAGAAAAAAGGAAGAAAGAAAGAAAGAAGAAATGATGAAAGAAAGAAAGAAAGAAAGAAAGAAAGAAGAAAGGATGAAAGAAAGAAAAATGGAAGAAAGAAAGAAGAAAGGATGAAAGAAAGAAAAATGGAAGAAAGAAAGAAGAAAGGATGAAAGAAAAAAGAAAGAAAGACAGAAAGAAAGAAGAAGAAAGGATGAAAGAAAGAAAGAAAGAAAGAAAGAAAGAAAGAAAGAAAGAAAGGAAAAAGAAAGAAAGAAGAAAAAAGCAAAAGTGAGAACAGAAGCATAGAAAGAAAAATGAAAGAAAGCGGAAACATTTTAAAAGAAAAGAAACAACGGAAGGAAAGAAAAGGAAGATAGAAATGAACGAAAGAAAAGATATAACGGTATGGATGGCAAGAATGAAATAATAAGGAAAAGATACAATTAAGACTTGGAATTAAAGAAATACAAAATGAAAGAAGAAACTGGACTGGTGACAGAAAGAACAAAAAATAGTAACGAAGGCTAAACCCAAAAAATACCCACTTACTTAAAAATAATAGATTTTCTGCTGAACAGAAATCATTAAACATGAGAAGATACGTATAAAACCCCAAATATTTGATAAATTGAATCACAGTATAGAAGACGAAAAAAATTACATAAAAACAAACGAGAGAGAAATCAACCAGAAAAAAAGAAATCCGAAGAAAATAGATTTAAAAAGCGAAATCCAAGGTGAGATCAGCGGCATGATAAGGTTTTATAAAGCGAAAAAAACCTCTTCTGAATCACATTCCAGTTGTTCACGATCATTTCAATAACTGCTTTCAAGCTTAACGAATTTAGTGGTATTTTTTTTCTTCAATTTATTTCTGCTGAAAAGAACTCTGGATTTCTTCATTTACTACTAAAAATGCTGAGCTCATTGACGAATGTTGAAAATTTAAAGAAATGTACAAAAACGAAGCATTTTTCAATCTATTTCCTTCAAGAGAATAAGTTTAGTTATTGAAAATAATCCCAGAAAAAAAACTTAGTATTAATACTTTTAAAGTATAGAAAAAAAAAATAAATCAACCAAATGCAATGTTCAAAACACATGTATCGGGTGATCATTAGAAAATAAATCCCGGAATTGAATAATATTACGTATGAGAGAATAAAACTCTTGGTCTCATTGAACTGTACAACAATATCTTTACATGCCAATAAAATATGTGAACTTCATTTCCGTCGCACAATATATAGACTCATGCTTAACAAATTAGAACTAAATAATATTTTTCGTAAAACGATTACTTTTTCTCTATAAAATTGACATTCAGTTTCAGATTTAAGCTGTTTACATCTAGACTAAAGCAAATTCAATATCTGCTATTTATATATATATTTTAGTGTTCAATTCAGAAACCTATGGCTTTTTTTACAATTATAATACATATCTCCATATTTTGATTATGGCGGAACTGCTCGATAATTTAATTGGATATTGGAACAACAAACGTTTTCGTTTCACTCACTAATTTAAAGTTATGGTGACAGAAACTAACATTAATTAAAATAGTCGTTTATAGATTAACATTGATCAGCATGATATAGCTACTTCTTTAAAATTAATTTGAAAAGCGAACAAGATACGTACCAATTTGAAAATAGATTATTTCCAACTGATTATTAGATTGCAAAGACAGACAACGTTCTTTGAATCGGATGAATCAGGATCAAGTAGATAAATTTTCTAAGAAGTATCGTAATAACGCAGACGACAGGGTAGTGACTGATAATAGGGAATAATGCCTTCTAGAATTATTATTAATATTTATGTCCATAAAACCACTCTAATGATGACACATGTGAGCCAAAAACTTAGATCACGAAACAGCATAATAAAAAATAACCAAGATTTTGTCTTTATTTTCTCCCGAAATTAAAGCAACTATAAGAAGTTTAGAACGGCTCATGATCAAACATAATAGACATTCGTTGTCGGTCATATTTAACTAATATATATATATATATATATATATATATATATATATATATATATATATATATATATATATATGAAGAAAAATACACTGAAAAAACAAACAAAAATTCTAAAATGCGATTATGGTCTATGTTGATTATGTTTTATGAATATGTCCTGAAGATGGTCTATTAGACCGAAACGCCCGACGTTGACATTAAACATTTAAACGGCATAATCGCATATTAGGATTTTTGTTTGTTTTTTCAGTATATTTTTCTTCATACTGTCGGATCTATATCCATATATTTGCTTACACACACACACACACACACACACACACACACACACACACACACATATATATATATATATATATATATATATATCCGAATGTAATGAGAACGAAATAATATATAAGTTCTAACGTTCACAGCATTAATTCAAAAGAGAACACAATACCGAAAGCAGAGCAATAATTATAATAATTTTTACATATAGACAAAAACAATTTACTCACTACAAACATGTAACATTGTTTCGGTGCATTTAGTTGCACCTCAACTGGTGAAAAAAATGTTTTTTTGTCTATATGAAAAAATTATAGTGTATATATATATATATATATATATATATATATATATATATATATATATATAAAAGGCTCAAATACTAATACTCCATGGTTATAATTTAATACATTGGAATCGTAATCACGATCCAAAATTAAGTCTGATGATTTTGATCGTGATTATGATTTCAATGTAATAAATTATAACCATGGAATATTAGTGTTTGAGCCTTTTGTATTATATTCTTACTCTGTCCTAGACATTGAGTTCTACCTGGATTCTGTCCTCTTGGGAATTTTATATATATATATATATATATATATATATAATTATATGAATCATTCATACAAAAAACAAATATAGAGTTTAATGATTTAAATGGCGAGAATACATCTTCGCAAACAATATAAATAAGATACACCAACCCCGAACCTGTATATGAATGATATGATCCCTGTTTATAAATTCCAGTTTCATAAGGTCTTTTTTAGTCTTTACAAGCTTTCGTCTGTTCCTACAGACATCCTCAGGTATGGAAATAGATTTGTTCTTTTTTTTTTTACTTCTCGGTAATAAGAGGACAACGAAAATAGAGATGTAATCTGAAAAAATGCTACGAGAAATGTGTTATTATTTTGGAACATGCTGTCGCAACGCTGAGTTTGAATTTTAAATTTTAAGGTTGTGCGTTTTTGTACAAATATAGTAATAAGAGAATTCTTTTTTACTGGTAGGTTTTCCGTCAATGTGGCATGAACTATATTGTTCAATAATTACAGAAATGTCACACTTATTATTCGAAAGTTGCACGTTGGATCAGTTATTTTAATTTCGATTATACGTGCTGTTCAACTTATAATTACATGAATCATTCATACAAAAAACAAATATAGAGGTTAATGATTTAAATGGCGAGAATACATCTTCGCAAACAATTTCAATAAGTTACACTAACTCTTTTCGTTACGTTATCAGGCAAAAGTCATACCAAATGTACTAACGGGCCTCGGTGACGAAGCGGTAGCGAATTAGACTCGATACAGCGCCGCTCGATCACATATTCCTTGGTGGAACTCATCCGAATTTCCCTTACCCATAGGACTGTGCCCCCACGAGCCACGACTACTATCTCTAAGCCGTTCCATCCGGAGCATTAGAAGCCAGTTCAAGCAAGGATATACAATGATATAAATTATTAGGAGGATTTATTCTAGACTCAATGAATTACTTGATTATAATTATCTCAAATCCTCCTTCATAAATCTCTATAAATACTCCACTGCCAAAATTCTTTGGGAAGGCTAAACCAAAATTGACAACCATGAAAAGGGACTTTCAAGCACAGGTTTCACAAAAACATACAGAAATATATAATGTAATATCTTTTAAAAAAAGAAATGCTTATTTCAGGAGACTACTTTAAAACAAAATTGTTAAAAATAAGGCACTAAACAATTGTTTGGCAAACAACCTAGAGTGTTTAAGTTTAAGAATATTAAATTACCTCCTCGATTATCCAGTGAAGCTGCTATTCATCCGATAAAAAAAGGAACCAGTGCCCTCGTTGGCGATTTAAAAATTCACTCCGAAAAGTCGATTAGATGTTAAGAATACCCGGTGAAGTGCATGGAAAACGTGGTCTAAATTCGTCCAATTTAGAATAAAGGCCAGAGTTTCTGTTAGCATTTGATTGCGGGGGGGGTGAATAAGGGCTTGCTCTACCCTGATTGAGGTTGGCTTGCCGATGAGGTGTATGATGTTGAAAGACCCGAAACTACCTGATGAACCAAGTCAATTTACATCACTGACGACTACCTCCGACGTCCTATTTAAGAGCGCATATTAAAAAAAATATTTTCCTATTTTCAAAATTCATGACTAAATGATCCTTATTAAAATTTATAGAACGCCTCAGAGTTTAGTTATTCTACGATTGCGCCATGAAGTAAAAGAAATTGAGTATCACTGACCTATAGGGGTGCTGAAACGTACGTGCGTATTAACCCACTGAAAGACAACCATGGCTATCACAAATTCCAATTGAATATAACAGCGACCAATACTAAATCTTTCGCAATATTGAAAACGAAGAATTATAACATAGACATCATAAAAAAAACCTTTGCAACTTATATAACTGGAAGCTATTCTACTACGCAATACGAACACAAAATAATTAAATGTATCCGACCATAAATTAACATAAGATCAGTAGGTATATCTCAACGTAGATAAAACTGAAACCTTACAACATTCACTATCTCAACTAAAAGCTTAAAAACTAATTAAGACCCATCCAAATTAGAAATATCTCCGAAAGGCAGAACTTAAAAAGCGTGTCTGTTGCAATAATTACAAACGTATCCGAACAAAATCAAAAATAAATGCTCAAATAAACTAAATATATTAGACGAAAACAAATTAAAAACTAATTTCAATATAGTCTTCAAGACCAGCGGGTAAAACCAATATATACGTTATTCTAAATAAACACGACTATCACAACAAAGTACAAACAATCATCAGCGATAAGCCGAAATGAATAGAATTAAACGAATAACAGCCAGAGAAATCCCTCAACAAAATTAATACGTAAATCTATGCTGGGAGTAGAATCCGTGAAAATTAACAAAATCACAGGAGAGTTCCAACCAGCATACTTAAAAGGATATGTAGAAATACGTAACCTCGGACACCCACTACATCCAGTCATTTCACACACTCCGAAATCAATCGACCAAGTATCAAAACTGTACAGTGATTTCATATCACCATAACTTCCCGTAAAATATTGTTTTATGTTTTACATCCACCCAACGACTCTTCTATAAAATAAATTGTGATAATAGCGTTGAGTTTAAATATCCCTGCCAAAAGAAAAGAAAAAGTACAAATAAAATAAAAACGGCAAAGAATTAAACCCTACAATACTTAAGGAGAAGATTTAGGAAGATTAAGATTACCTCCTCGGTTATCCATCGACACTGCAATCCACCGAAATAAGAAAAAAAGCCAGTCCCCACCGCGGACCATTTAAAAGATATTTCGC